CAATATAACAGGATTGGAGACACTAACCCTTAGATGATGCCTTAAATCCGGGGTGGTTTGTCGATGGTGGGGGTTTGGCAGCATCAAAGGGAGAAGAAGTCGTTATCGATTCTAAAAGGTTATCGCTTTGTTTGAGGTTGGCCTAGCAACGGTTGGGTACCTCAGGCAGAAAAGGAAAAAAAAGGCACATCTAGTCCTTGGAGAATAGTACAAGAATAGTATTACATCTAGATATCAATCAGATCAATCGCATACGAGCTAGTATTGAATCCATGTCTAGTAGCTGACATATTTCACACTTTCAAAGCGACAACTACCTCCCATTGCATTGAAGACAACGCAGTTTCAGCATAACACACCACAAAAAGAAGCAAATTCTTCATGAAGCCAGAAAATGAGAACTGGTTTTCCCATTTACCCCTCAGGCATTTTGTACTAGTTCTCTTTCCACATAGACGGAACACTATAGATGAAAGTCAGCGGTTGTTAGTTAAGAGCCACTATTCCCACTCACGAAACCTCAACCACAGCACATTTACCACTTCGAACAACTTCTGTCGCTTGTTTGATAGCAGGATCAAGCTCAATTTGTGTGGTGACTGTTGCACCCCACGCCTTACCGGCTGCAGCAGCGATACCGGGGTAATCGGGAGAAGGGTCGAACGAGATATTGAGATCTGTACTAGATCAGCTACTGTGCACAAGAAGATATTTAGTTTAGATCTGGCTGACCTCGTCTATTCGACTTCGACGATAACCCGTCCTTGTGAACCAGAAGTGCGGACACCTTTGGTGCGTTCCATCCGCCATTGTTGAGCACAACGAGGAGGAAGGGGATATTGTAGCGTCTGGCGATCCAATATACGCTTTCCATCTGCGAGAATAGATAGACTCCGTCGCCGACGCTGGTGCTTATTAGATATTGTGGAAGAGCTCCCGCGCTGGTGAACACTTACATTGCACATATGAATGAGCCGGGCTTGCCTAGCTTGACGCCCAATGCTGCACCACCTCCCCATCCTAGACCACCTGCGCCGCTGGCAATCAGACTTCCCGGCTGGAATTTAATTAGCATAGAGTCAGCACATTGGCATGAATACATACCTCAGTCAAGTTCAAATGGTGGATAAGATGCCCTGCATTTGTTACAGCCTCCAAAACGTAAATAGTGTCTTGAGGGAGAGAATCTCGCAGTCTCGATGCCAGGTATGGCACACTGACTACACCATCTTCATCTTCCGACGGTGACTCAATTTTTTGTAGAGTTTCTCTCCAGATTTTGTAGTTAGTTGACCGCTCCTCAAACTCCAGGGTATACTTAGCCCGGTCGATATCCTGTTTATCCAGGAAAGCATTGATTTGCCCAAGCGCAATTCCACAGCCAACCTTGAGCTTGCGAGTGGCATTGATTGAAAAGACTGATACATAATTGTTCACAAAAAATCAGAGAAAAGTCACCACTACGGTCGATATATGAACTTACGTGGCATCTGTTGCTTCAACGGATCGACGTCTAGATGGAATACCCTTGCCCCTGCAGTGTGTGTCAGAACAGCACTGAAACATGGTTTTTTGGACATTCTTACCACTCCGAGGCTTTCCAGCAGTAGGAATCCAGGGCACATCACAATCAAGAATAAGAATAACATCGGCTTGAAGAACTTCCGGATGAGTAGTGACGGTAACGCCGCGATATGCTTCGTGGTCACTTCGGAGGCAAACGTCAGAGCCGACCATCTCCACGACGGTAATTGGAAGTTTATCACAAAGTTCGGCTAAGAGGGCTGGCGCTTTGAGATTCCGACCAAGATAACTTGTAATAACAAGCGGTCGCTTTGCGCCCATCAACGACTTAGCAATCAATTCCACCTCTATTGCTGTCAGCGATGTGAAATCTCAAATCTCAAATTACCAACCTACCTTGCTCTGGCAATGCACTTGGGGTGATCGAACTGAGAATTTCGCCGTCTAGAGATTCTTTTCCCACACGCTGCATAAGATATGGTTAGCGACAATTTTGGTTTATTGCGATAACTTCGAATACTTACTTCCTCGAGTACCTCTCTCGCAGCCATTAGATATGCCGGACCTTTGGGATCAGATGTAGCAAACTGCAAAGCTCGCGAGACCATTTGTTTGATATTGCGTCCGGTCTTTATTTCACCCGTGTATCTGCAGTATTGTCGAACAATCGCTGCTTGATCAGGTACGTCTTGTAGCCAATGGATGAACCTGTACTTCAGTGTCAACCAGCTGGCTCCATGTAAACCTTCTTCGTTTGGCTTGCTAACTCAGTTCTGGAACCCAACAACTCGCCATTCTGTGTAAAAGGGCTCAAACCAGCAAAGCACAAAACAGGAACTCTGCTGACGGAGGCATTATGTATGGACTGTCCCATAGCAAGAGTGCCGCAGTCGACATGCACAATTACGCATTGCTTGCAAGAAGTTAGCGAAAGAATTGATATGATGGGCGTAGTCATCTACCGGAACCCCTGTAGCTTGAGCATATCCCAGTGCAGCTGATAGGGCAACTAGCTCAGAAGGGCAGGTAATGATTCTCGGAAAATTGGGTTTGTTTTCTATCATAAATCAGCCCTGGTTGTTGGTAACATATCCGGTACTCACCTTGCTTAGCCTTGATCATTGCTTCCAACATCGCGGGATGGTCGCTCCCTCTATCGGACCGGTCAGAACATATAAAATTAGTGGCTAATACAGTCACTAACAGGTTGACGAAGCAGTATGTGATACCGGCCTCAACTGGAAAGAAGGTTAGCCTTTCTAATGGACTGCGTGAAGCTTCGATCACATACACAGTGCCTCGAAGAAATTGTCAGCAGCGGATGTGAGGCTGCCATCTTTGACAATATCATCCTCATCATCGCTGTCTTCCTTCTTTCGTTTCTGGGGTACTGTAGTTGTCGACTTCATTGTGTCTGTCGCGCAATTGAGGTACAATTGATGGTGGTACGTATTGTCGAGGGGGCGTCCGAGTTTAAATGTCACCCCCTGGATGTTTAGGGTAATGTAGATCTATATATGTACTCCTTACGAACCCCGCATATTAAATACAAGTTGGATTCGGGCCAATCGGTTGCAATTGTGGATCAGCTCATAATTCCGCTATCTCTGGGGTTTTAAATTTGAATACCCGAGGCATGATCGGCATCTGTATACGGCAGTGGTGTCTCGGAGTCTGTGCAATTGGCCTATTCATTTGTAAGATCCGTAGATTTACCTAGAAATAACAGTTTAAATGAAATCTGAAGCTCCTTGTCATCCAACTATCATGTGTCTCGTCACCAGTTCATGCAAACCCCAATATCAAAATTCGCCATTCCCATATCCATCCTCCCATGAGATTCAGATCTCGCCAATAACGCTCTTGAGTATCTCAGGGATAATAACGCCTGCATCTCCCTGGAAGAACCAGTCACCGTTATGAAGCTTGCCCGGTGTATCCTTGCGGTCCATATTGCACACTGCAACTCGGGCGCCCTGCGAACGAGCCTCATGGACATACCCCGCAGCTGGCCAGATCCTTGCGCTAGTGCCAATGACCAAACATAGGTCAATTGGCCCCGCCGCGATCCACTTATCGACAGTGCTGAGCGTCTTCTCCGGCAAGGGTTCCCCAAACCATACGACTCCCGGTCGGAGCAAGCCATCCTTGCATTTCGGACATTGAGGTAGCTCCTCTTTGCTCACTGTGGCGATAGGATTGCTGGCATCGGATATGTCTACTTCGTTGCTGGTGCCATCCAGCGCTTCTGCAAGCGCTTTCGATGCTTCCTCGCCAGTCTTGTCGGTCGCAGAGGGATTAAGGCCTGAACTCTTCTTTGGAATTTCGAGGGCAGGAACTATGGGGTCAGTGAAGTTGTCTTCGGTGTAGTCGCAATAGAAATTGGTGCATTTGACAGTGAACAGAGTGCCGTGAAGAAGGTGCAGCTGCTTCGAGGGATGGTTCGCTCGCTGAGAGAGACCTAAAAACGATGCGAGGGGATTTTAGTAATTCAGACAGAAGCACTTGTCCGACATCCATACCGTCAACATTTTGGCTCAATGTGATGAAATCTTCATTCCTTCGCGATAGCTCCGCTAAGGCGTAGTGTGCTTTGTTTGGGTCGGCTTGCAAGGCCATGTGTCGCCGATAGCTGTAGAACTGCCAGACAAGACCAGGAGTCTCATCGAAGGCTTCTGGAGTTGCGAGGGAGGTTGCATCGTGGGAGCGCCAGAGTCCGCCTGCGCCACGGAAGGTGGGTAAGCCTGACGCTGCTGAGATTCCAGCTCCAAGCAGAGCAACGATGCGTTTGCAGCCTCCTAAATATTCCGTAAATGATTGAAGGTCAGCGGCCGGTACAATGCTCTTTTCAGATGAAGCCATGGTCTTCAAGTCACAATATCGTTGAAGAGCTGAGCTTATCAAGGGCGAAGATGAAAGTGGGGATGCGGGGAATTTATACTGAATGAGGCCTGATCTGTAAGGCATCGAAAACATGTCGGCTAAACCGTTTCCGTAAAACATAGGTCCAATCAATGAATTAAAATAAACAATACAATTTTACAGTAGCGAAACTGTATTAAATGGTCCGTGTATTGAAAATAGAGTGCCAAGATTGACCTATACTAATTAGGTTAGACTGCTGTGCCACTAGACATTCCGGCTGTGCCAATCATTACCCGTCGACTCGAGTATACCGTTGCCCGCAAAATGGCATCTAACTATACTTGATGGTATTTCATCCTTTTTTCCCCTTTCTAAAGAGAAGCAATGTAACAGTTCAACAAGGGCTATCTTCTACTGATTCTTAGTACTCTGCCAATCCTGCAATAGGAAAGTCTTTGACAAGCAATTATCAAGCAAACTGCTAGATTGTAACTAGAAGTTCCACCTAGTAAAAGCAAGTAAAATATTCCAAATAGAAGGCTCTAAAGATATCCGAGCACATTTCAAGATCCGGTACGCCAACGGTACAATCAACCAGTGATAGTCATCATTCAGCAAGTGTGGTTTCCCTTAAACCAGGCCCAACCAGCACTTCCCACACTTGTGAGTACACCAGCCGCCTGTGCAGCAGTGTTTACCGCTACCAGACCAAGACCACCTGCTCCTGCTCCTGCACTTTGCCCCGCGGCAAACAAACTACCAGCGGCGACATTACCTATCGAACTTTGGATTGCGGCGGCGAACGACCCTATTCTCGGCATGAGGTTAACAAAACCGACGTAAATTAAATGACCTTCTTTGGACATTGTAATTACCTGCAGCAACACCAGCAGTATTGAATCCAAGACCCGATAGGATCGGAGCAGTTACTAGCACTGGGGCAGCGACAACGGCTACCCCTCCAGCGCCAGCCACCGCACAGGCAGCTAAATTGGGGTTCTTAAGAGCCCAGGTGCCTGCCTGTTGTATTTGAGCGGTTAGTTTCAAGTTGAGAATGTATGAGAACCAGCATATATATACCTGGGCTGTAAAGTTCCGAGCTTGATCGAAGGCGAAAAACATATTCCAGTGTAAGTATTGTCTGCTTTACGTGACTGAAGCAGGATAGGTAGTATCTGAGAGGATGTTAGACTTGAGAGACACTTGATGTCATCTGTATGTCAAGAGGAAGGAGTGATGGATCGATTAATATTATGAAAAAGAAAAATACTACTCCTACGATAGGTCATCTGTTGAAGAGCGAAATGCACGATGGGCAGCCTGGCCATGCAGGTAAGACGAGAACGACACAACAACACCAACCATCCAGGACGGTCAGCTAGCAAGCGTAGGGATCACATAGACCACACTATAGTATACAATCTCCTAGTGTACAAACATCTCAACTTGCTTCTCATTTCTGGGGTGATGATCTGACTAGGCTCGCTCTCTCTAAAACTCTACTTGACAACCGGGCACTCGCTTTTCTCTGCCTAAAGGATAAGGCCACTAAACTAGGGATTCCGACTTTCTCCACTGCACTATATCGCTTTACAGGGACAAAGAAAGACCATGAAGGGAAAAACAGAGGTTTGACATACTTGCCTAAGCAAACAATATCTTAGTAAGATAAACCATAAACATCAATGCATATACTAGGCATGGTCTCTAATGGATGTTGAGCCTAATATATATAACGCTACGGCGAACGTAGGAAATCCCCTTTATTTCTCGATCACTCAACACCTACAAACCAATCATGCTGCAATGCCTGGTGCGCTGTGATTCGCCTGGCAAGGTCTAGACAGGTCAACCCTCGAATGAGATCTTTGAAGGCGGCATCGCAAACGTCTGGCCACTCAGAGAATTAAGTCTAGCAGAATTGAGTTGATGCCTTATGTATAAGGCATTATAAGACATAATCAGGCATAATCGGGCAGAAGGGTCGATATGGGGGTTCCCTGTAACAATCCCCTATACATACCTGGGCTGTGAAATCCCGAGCTTGATCGAAAGTGAAAAAGATAATCCAGTGCAAGTATCGTCTGATTTCGGTGACTGAAGCAGGATAATATGTATCTGAGAGGATGTTATACTTAACAAACATAAACTAATACGATACATATAGCACCTAGGAGAGAAGGCAAGAAACGATGAATCTCAATGATGAAGCAGAGCACTGTCTCTGATATATAGTTCGTTGGCATAGCTTAATGCAGACAAGAAATAAGGCCGCCCGGTACTATATGTTTTACATTTGGGCGACAGACGTTCGTTGTTTGATTTATCATCTTTACTTCAATTCAATTTCTATCTCCTTCATAGAAATCTTAGCTCTTGGCCCTCAAGTTCAGAGTCCACATCTGAGGCGCGCGCTGGCGTGTAACGTCAGCGTGTTTAGGCCTTATGTCGCTATCGCCCAACGCAACACTATCCAACTTTCACTCTACGAGGTCAAATATGGCGCCAAACCTGGGCGACGAGGCAGATGGCAAAAAGCTAGGGTTGGCAAAGAAGAACCGAGTTCAAGATAACGACTCAAATCACATCAGTTTATCTACAAAACCCCGCCCCAGGCCACTCACCCCACCACTTCCGGAGAATGAAGACCTCAAAGCGTCGACTAGTCGTGGATGGCGACTATCACTTTCAAAACGACGCGAGCAACAATCTACTCTCCAACAAGCCCAGTCTCCTCTGTTCGAATGTCTACCCACTGAAGTCCGACTTCTCATTTGGGAACATTATCTATGTAGCCGGATGCTGCATATTATTCGACCGGACCAGCACAAATGGAAACGATCCCATAAAGAAATTGTCGGGATTTTATGCAGCGAGCCTCGCAATTTCTGTCCATGCAGTCATCATTGTTGGGGACTGCTTGCTCGTCGGCCCGGGGGAAACTGCATCACACCAATGAACTACGGATCATATTACCATGAGAACTCCGAGTGGAAATTTGACACGAGAAGAGCGGATTTCGTGCCTCTTTTACAAACCTGTCGAAGACTGTGAGTACTTCCATCTATGTTCGAAATAAGCCAACTAACAGCGTGCTAGGTACTCCGAGGTCATTGATATGATCTTCCAAAAGAACACTTTCCTCTTTAACCACACAGATACGATTATTGATTTTTCGCGTACACTTCTACCACAGCGCTTGAGCATGATTCGCACTCTGCAGCTCAGCTTTCCGGATCCTGGTGGTCTAAGTTGGAATAAATGCTGTCAAGTTCTCGCTACCAAGCTGCCTGGCCTGAAGAACTTGACTATCCATTTATATCCTCACGTAACAAACCGTCTGGACGATTGGCTTATCCCGCTGCATCAGATTCGACAACCCACCGTCTTCGAGGTCTTGCTGATCAAGCCGTGGTATCTGGATCCACAATGGGAGAAGTCAACTGGGCTTGTTGATGCACCTTTTCGATTTGAGATTACTTATGTGGAGAGGCGAAGCTTGTTGAAGGACAACGAGTACCACTGATTTTTGACATGAGGCATCATAGTGGTAGACTGGTTGATACATAAAGGATAGGCTGGCAAGCTATCAAATTCCGTTGAATCAATTGAACTCCAAACATTTCACGAATCTTCCTCTCCCCCGAGTAACACCTCCCTACACAAATTCTCATGCCCCTAGCTTATCTCAAATTTGCTTTCACCAATCCAAATTCCGAAGTCCACTCATACCTTGGCCACTGAACTCCATCTAGCCTTGAGGTTGAGAATATTGGCTGGATTGTAGCCGTACCCAGATTAATCACTTGGACCGTCGATGTCCATTAGCCCGGGTGGAGATAGTCGTGTGTCCTGCGTTTGTGGTCAGATATGGTTATACGGCATTTTTTGTACACATAAAAACAACTCACTGTCTCATAGGTAGTCTGGTGCGATAGAGGCACTGTCTGATATCCAATTTGTTCGAACTCCATGCCTGGAGCCGGGAGTGGGTGTCCGTTTCCAACTGAGACTGGAATAACTGTCGATCTCTGATGGAAGGGATCGCCGTTCGGGTTGACCTGGATCTGGTCCTGGAAGTTGGATCCACCAGTCTCACCACGAGATCTGGCATTCTTCATAGGACGAGTCGGGAGCTCTTCATTGTTACGTCTTTTTCCATTTGAATGAGCATGGGGTTGTATCTGGTTTCGTTGGGGTCGCATGTTGCCTTGCATACTGGCTCCTCCGGCGAAGCCTGTACCAAATACATTTCCCTCCTGATTACCCCCCGGTTTCTGGGTGGTGCCAAACTCGGTAGTGTCAGTCGCTGTAGCTCTCGCGATACTAGGATGAAATAAGGGCCGCATCGAAGGACCCAGCACACGAGCCTCCGAGTCTCGTTTGGCCCACTTCCTTGACAGCGATTGTTCTATCCGAAGTATTTGCTCCGGAACATCTAGAGTTTCATCCTGGAAGGCATCCATCAACCTCATCTTGGCTGCAGCTTTGCTTCTTGTCGGTGGCAGTCCAAAATGGAGAATCTGTGCTTCGTACCAGTGGTCTTGATGGTCAGCTCTGTCCCTGATGTCGCCTAAAGGTGCACAGAAAATGTCATCCAGCTCGGAATATGTCGCACGTGGGTGAACATGGCCACTGGAGGAAGTCACGTAGAAAGTGTCCCTGTCAAAAGACCACTGGCCGTGATAGATAGGCGCCATAGTGTGTTGTGTGATAAAGAAGTGGAGGAGAGTAGTTGAATGGAAGATCAAACGAATATATGGTTTGCTTAAACAATTATCCTCGGTAAGCGTACCATACGCATCTATCAGAAGATCTCTGAGTTGTCGCTGCCATATACACCCATATGAAAGGAACTTGCACTGTATTATAACAACTAACAAACATTATAACACTCCCTTTAGTTAGAGAGACCTACATAGCTCAATTATATAGTAAGGTAAGCCTAGAATTAAAGATGACTTGTAATTGACCTCCCCCTCGCACCGGAATTGATTCACCTAGGAAATCCACGATGATACTTGACGTTTGAAGATTTGAGTTTGCGGTCGAAGCAGAGTTGATTCTCTAGAAATAAACAGAGAGCTACTTATATAGCTGGATGAAGCCTATCAAACAGGAGAAACGGCGATGGTTTATACGGAAAGTACGAGCCTACAATGTGATGTCAGAGCCTGGGTACATTATTTGAAAATACAATAGCAATCCACATGTATCTATACGTACGTTCATGAGAATCTTCAGGCTTAGACTCGCTGCTTAACGTAACCAAGCGAGCCGCCACCCTACAATCCAGTATTTTAAGTGCATTTATCTCAACCATAACGCCATTAAATGAATTAGAATTGATTAGACTACAATGTAGTACTGGATTGATATTCCTATGGGGCGAAACAAAGGCCGCCCGGATCTGGAGTATTGCCCTAGCCGGAGTGTCCTTCTTGGTCTCCCTCGCTACAGAGCGCAAGAGTATTCGGTTGGACGATGCTAAAAAGAGAGCCGAGAAGAAAGCTGCGGCTGAGGCTGCGACTCCTTGAACCCGCATTTTATCAATGATCGAAGACTTCCCGGTTCCATTTTTGCGTGACCCGACGATGTAGAGCTTTTCTCAGGATAAAATTCTGCCTGATGTTAACGTTACACCTCCGACCCTAAAAGGTTGGATCTAAGTAAACCCTTTACAATTATCTATGAAAAGAAAAGAAGGCAAACTTCTTTCAGAGCTATGAAGCCCTACAGGAAATGATTGTTTACACATTTAAGCGTAGCCCAAACTTTAAGCGCGTTAAGGTCCCCCGCCTCCGTCAACCCCCAACTTACTTACATCTTTCTCCTCCCATCTACGTACCTCTCTTAGTAGCATCATACATCATGAACCCATCTTCTCCAACACGCTCTCCACAGCGCTCCCCCACTCCAAATCTACAAACCACACTCAGCCATCGCCCAAGCCTGCGGCAGTCCCAGAGCTCAGGCACACCCAGCTCAGCAAACGCCCCGATCCCAGATGACGACCATGGCGCTGATCTACCGATGAATATGTCTGCATCGGTCATGCTGACCAATTTACCCCGTGATGCGCACGAGGCTCTCGCGGACGTGGAGAGTATTGATTCGGGGAA